GTGTGTGTGTGTGGTGTGTGTGTGTGTGTGTGTGTGTGTGTGTGTGTGTGTGTGTGTGTGTGTGTGTGTGTGTGGTGTCATGATTCGGTTCTGTGTTGCTTCCTGTCAGGCTTTTATTTTGATGCTACGTCCTGTTTTGTTTCACCACAGTTTTGGTCTTTTTACTTTCTTCATCACCCGCATTAGTTTCACCTGCTCATTATAGTTTGCACCGCATCATAAGCAGCCTTCACCCACCAATCCCAGCCAGATTGTTCTAGACGCCACCTCTCACTCTCCAGCATTTTTCGGTTTTGGTACTTTGTGTTTTTGACTCGGCTTGTTCCTCTGACTATTCTGTTCTGCCTTGCCCTCTTGCTTCAGACTGTCACTGTGTATAATTATCGGACTTCCCTTTGGACTACGTATTTGGATTCCTCTGCTGTATGTGTTTGCTGGCTCTGATCTCGGACTGTTTATACCGACCTGTGATTTTTGTGTTTCACCGTGTCTTGTATGGTTTTGTTTAGCGTTAGTTCTCTTATTAAAGAGACGGTTTTGTTTTACATTTCCTTGTCTGGCCTTTTAATTGAGTTCACCCTCAACATTTTTGGCAGCATAACGCGCCGATTCCTGACATGTGGTGTGTGCGTGTGTGTTTGTCTTTATATACTTGTGCGAACCAACCCCTGATGGAACACCTTTCTTGTGTGGACATTTCATTGGTGACTTTCACCAATGCGGTTTTTGTACTATGATGGACTCTAAATCCTGACTGAAAATCCTCAAACAAATCATTCTTGTGCAAGTGGTCACATAACTGCTTTGCAACAGCTTTTTCAAGGATTTTGGAAATAAATGGGCGATTGGATATTGGTCTATAATTAGCTAGGACACCTGGGTCAAGAGTAGGCTTTTTGAGTAGAGGTTTAATTACTGCAAGTTTAAAAGCCTGTGGAACATAACCTGTTAATAGAGAGAGGTTAATCAGATCTAGTATGGATGTGTTGATTAGGGGAAAGATGCCTTTGAGCAGCCTGGTCGGGATGGGGTCCAGGAGACATGTTGATGATTTAGATGAAGCAGTTGTTGAGGTCAACTCAGAGAGATCTATGGGAGAGAAGTAGTCCAAGTATAAATGAGGTCTTACAGGTGTTTCTAAAGCCAATGTATATAAAATGTTTTATCTTTATTAGTTTCCTCAATGGAGCCGCAGTTGCACACAGAGGAAAGTACACACTGAGAAAGACCGCACACACATGTCCATCTCTCACTATGCCTTTACTTACAATATATCACAAATGGTGTATTATACAATTACACTGGAGTGGAGTTTTGCATATTTGTTATATGTAGTTGTTATTTTTGTAATTACATGTGGCAATAGTCCCACATTTAAACATGCTCTCGTGTCTGTCACAAGAAACTGAAAGCACTATCACTAACATACTTTACAGTTTTGATACAGTACTCCATCAAACAGCCTTCATAAATTAGATGGTAATTAGATGATAATGATTTTGGGGGCTGTGCTTAATAATAAATACTAGCAAGATATATTTTTTTGTTTGGTTTTGAAAGTGTTAAAAAGATCTTTTCTTGTAGATACACATCTGTGCTTATGTCAACAGAGGGAGCTATGTGCCAGTAGTTCCTTCCACATCACATTCCTTGTGCTACATACTAGGCAGTTTATTGCGATTTTTTTAAAAGGTAGTCACTAATACTGATGTGTTTTTTTACGACAAAGGCACACAGTGACAAAAAGGTCATAATATCACTGGTGCTGAGGAGTGACTGATGACCAGAGCAGTTCTTTCTTAGTTAGAGTAAATTTAAAAAAATAATCTGTATTAGTTTAATTTATTTTATCATCATGGGCATTATGAATAGGTGATCATGCCTGACTTGGACTGTAAATAAAGAATTAGGTGGAAGATATCACCTCCATTGATACCTAACAATGCAGATACCTGTTTTCTTCTTGGTGTGGAGATATAAGATGATTACACTTCTGCTGTCACTCAAATACTACATAAATAACAACATGTCTTTTCTGGATAAACCACAGAAATTCATATTCATAATACTAAAAACAGACCATGTCAGGTTTATGTATTATTAAGTGACCAGCACATCTTTGATCCTATCCTGAGACACTGGTATTGAGTTGTTGTTGTTTTTTTAAATTTATCTTCATTGTATTCTTTGTATTGCTCTGCAGACACCACTGGGGTAAATCTGACCATACTGTATATAGTTGTTGTTACTTTTCTTATTTATCTAAGTAAGTACACTTGCTACAACACCTCCATGGTGACACCTTTGACATAAAAACTGTCCTGCTGTGATTCTTTACAAGTTTTGTATCGCCATAATTTCTTTGGCAAGTTGGCTACAATAATATGCAAATCGTTACAATGAAGAACAGACAAATATATTGAAATAAACATAACTCAGGGAGATAAAGTCTGACCATTATTATTATTTGTCACTGGCTTATGTTACAGTTTTAGTCAAGCACTGGCGTGGTACAGCAAGTGAGAGCAAAAAAAACTTATTTCCCTTGTTGCAGTTTTTCCAATTAAGAGGTGTTGTGAGGTTGTAATCACGGTCCTGCTCTAATACAAACTCCATTCAGTCCTTGAACACCGTCACTATGCATAGTATCTGCATAGTACTGTTAAAGGTCTCCACTTCTGCAGGGCCTCCCACATCTTTGCACCAAAGGCACCGTGCGGTATGGAATCATGTGCACCCAGAGCAGCAGTGTGCTTTCTGGATACCATTGTCTCTCAGGAAAGTTTAATGTAGATGGGTTGGTTTTGAGATGCTGAGTTATGGATCTTCTAAGCCAGTATTAGGTTGTTCCAAGGTTCGGCTTTGGAGCCAGAAGACCCGTTGTGGCCCCCAGGGGACATCTTCAGAGGAATGGCCCCACCTTGAGCTGCCATGTAGGCTGGCAGGGCTGAAATCTAAAGGGACACAGAAGAGGATGTTTGTTTTTTAAATCTGTCCTGTGTGGCTATCTGAGCAGACAAAGGCCTCCTGGTGCTCGTGAATACCTGAGATCATAAATAGAGACTTTTACTTTTTCTTTTGCTTATGCTATTATTTGGCATGTAGATATGGGACAAATAAGTGCAAAGTAAGACTCAGTATTGTAGAATTTGGGTTATAACGAATTAAGCCTTGAAGTGATACCGTTTCCTGTTTCCTGGGTATGTCAGACTGTTCACATTGAATTAAATGGGCAATGAGTACCTTGACCTGTTTGGTCATCACAACCAACAAAAACAGCCTGCATAAATATCTTCTGACATTCTGCTATCAAAGTATGGTACCTGTGTGTGTGTGCTGTGGTGTGGGTACAAGCTATGAGTCTCCGGCTCTGTCTTTATCTGACGAGGCTCCTCTGTGGCGGTGGAGGCACGGGGAGTGCTGCTGGGTGTGACTGGAGTGCCCTCACTGCCTGGAGTCCCTGTGGTGCCCGAAGCCAAGGTCATCTCACATGTACAGTCAAGTTTAAAAAGCACTGAACAAATGTACAAATGCTGGCTTATTTGTTATGTGCAAACATTGCTGGGAAAATAAGGGTAATTAGACCAATTTTCCATTATATATATTGTTATACTGCATGTAATATTTTGCTCTTAGTATATTGATGATCAGAGTGTTAGGGAGAGAGGCCCTAAGCCCTTGGACTCTGCTTGTGTAATATCTATACCTTCATTTAGACACAAACATTGGCACATGAGTTTTTGAAGCTCACCAGTTTGGGACTTGTTGAGATTTTTGGGTTTGCGTTTGCGAGTCTGGATCCCCTCTTTTTTCATAGCCAGGGGTCGAGGTACCTGTCAGGGCAACAGGACAAGGAAAGAATAAGGGGAAGGTCAAGATTGTTTTTACTAAAAGGTGCACATGAAAAAGTATGTTGCCAGAAAATGGATAATAAATCTCTTATCCTCAGGACTTATGACATTTTTTCATAAATTTCCCAATTTCCCTTTTTCAAAAACTCATGAAATTAAGTGCTTTTTATCGTCCAGGTAGTCAGATACTTAAATGCCTTTTCCTTGGTGTCTATACATTTAGATCCCCTATAAATGTTTTTATTTGTAAGGCATCATCTAAAATGCATAAATAAAGTGTAAATAAATGTTTGATATGGGCGTATACACCACTTCAGCTGTATCTTTCCCTCCCTCCTTGAGTTCTCTCTTACCCCATGTAGTTTCATGTAGAGGCCACAGGCATTGCAGACTGGTTCTCCCTCTGCATTTCGTCGCCATAGGGTGGTGGTGGTAGTGTGACAGTTGGTGCAAGACAGACCCACCCTCCTCGATGCAGACTGCCAAAGACAAAATAAGACAGAGCCATCAGTTAAAAAGTTCAGAAAAGGCAAAAAAAAAAAAAAAATTCTCTGGATTTATTATTGATAAGACATTTCCTTTGTCATTTGGCAGATGTGAATCTAAAAATGCACAGTAATGTACAGAGATGTTGTGCGTGTATTGTCACCCACCAGTCGTCTTTGGGGTTTGATAAGAGGTCTATTGATGCCATTCATCTTGTGGTACAGTCCGCAGGCGTTACACAGGTAGTGGCCCGTGCCATCACGCCTCCAGAGAGGGGTTGACATAGCCCCACAGTTAACACACTCTCGCCCTTCGGCAAAGTCATCAAACAGATCTGATAAGAGATGAGAAGAAAGAAGCATTTCATCACGGAAAATGTAGTTTTTGTTGAGATGGAATTATCATTACTCTCTGCTGAAATAGTTTTATTTATCGGTCTCACAATACAGTATAAACTGAAATAGGTTCATCAACACACAGGCTTGGAAAGCAGATTTAAAACTGTACTGGATAAAGTCAAATTTTTATATCAGTCAAGCTAAAGTCATGGCTGTTTCTCTGAAAGCAGATGTTTTGCAGATACAAGATCTTCAAAGGCACCAATGACAATTCAGTCAATGACTGCAAAGAAGTTTAAAATTATCTTTTTTTTATGCAAGGACTAAGTAATCACTTCCATGTATTACTTAGTCCATATTACAAGCTCATATTACAAACCCCAATAGGAATTATTCTGTGATTCTTAGAAAAATGTACTTCCAGCTGGGCTTGTGCCACAAGCATTCTTTCCATCCTCTTTAATGAACAGTTTCCTGCACTATCAGACCCTGAGAGGGTGATTTATCAAATGCAGTGGCACCACTACACCAGCAGGAGGCGCATGCTGCAGTCATACAGACCCACAGAGCAGCAGCCTGAAATCCCTCCTTATCTCACAGCTCCCCTTGAGATAAAGAGTCGGCTGGAAATAGAGACGGAGTGGAGCTCCATCATATTCAAATAGTGACTCCATGTCTATCACATCTCTTTCTCCCTCTGTCTAGGATAGGATGACATCTGATGGATGTAATCTTCACTCGCTCATCTGGCACATAACAGAGTATCTGCCAAGAACCACTTAGCTGTTCGGGAGAAGGAGACATCAATCTGTGTTGTGGAAGTGACTGTTTGAATCGTTTTACCTACATCTAGCAGTGATACAAATGTCACAGTGTACAACAGCGAGACAATAGCTTGAGGAAATTTGGAAAACGCCAACTTAATAATTGTAAACATCACATTTAAGTTGTACACGTCACTGTTTATATTTACTCTCCTTCAGAAAGTATAAATCTGTCTCCAGCTGTTCCCCCCTCACCGTGGAGTGTAACTGAAATAGCAGTGATACATGTGCAGGCCTCTTCCAAGGCTGAGGGCAAAACAGAGACAGCAGAGCGAGCTAACCTTGAGCCAGGCAGCAACTGTAGCCAACACAAAGCAGCAACACAAGACAACACACAAAAGAAATATTGAAGCATCCTTTATGTCTATCTATAGATGTTTATTTTTTCCTTATAAATGTCAGTGTGTGTCTTTAATGGGATGCAATTTAAAAACATCCACATCAACTTCAGAAGGCCAAAGGTGAAAATGAGCCTGTTTTTCCATTCATTGTCACTGTGGCAGAGATAATGAGGAAATATAGTGCCAACACCTACAAGTTCACTTGCTCAGCTTTTTAAGTACACATCTGTGGTACTTTTACTTTTTTGTATAATGCTTTACGTTATTAAATTTGCAGTGGGCTTACTGTGGGCTGATATCACTAAAACTCTTTATGTACAAAGCATATTATCAAAATATCAAGATATAATGCATATTGTTAGCTAGCAGTCGCTGCACCATACAAATAACAACTGACACCTGAATCAAACAACATTAGTATAGGCTACTGACAATTAATTATATTTACAGTAACTACACATTTATTTGTACAGTTTATCCTGCGTCATACTTCTACTTATTATTATTATTATTATTATAGAAATAACAGTTTCACATATGATGAGCTTATAAAGCATGGTTCAATGTTGTAAATTAAATTATATTACCAACCGTATTTAAAGTAGTGTAAATAAGCTGAGTAAATTGCTACTTACATATTAATATATCAGTAATAGTGGAATAATTAAATATATTAGGAGCTATTTTTGACTGTTACTGTTTTGATTAAAAAAAAATCATTACATAAATTTTACTTGCAGTGGTGTTAATTTTATTTATTAAATATTTGTAAACATGTTTTTTGATTTTAAGCTTCATGTCAGCACATTTCACCCTTAGTGTTTTCTAAATGTTAGTTCACTCAAATTTGTAACGTTATTTACCCAGACACCAAACCACAAAAAGGTTTAAGCTCTTTAAAGCCTGTTAAGTTCCACCAAGAAACACCAGTGACTGATTAAATCATGTTAAGGCCACACAATAGACTAAACATCTGATCTCAACTTTTTTTTATTTTCAAAATCAGTTTTAACAAATGTGTTTATGAAATCATTTATAAGACCATTGCCAATTGTAAAGTTTTGTTTTTTTTTTAATAAAAACTTAATTTTAAATTATCAATCACTGTACAAATGTTTCAAACTATTCATGGGAATTATGCTAAATACCAGTGAAATATTTGTATTTTATTGACGGTGATCAAAATTGTATGTGCTCTTCTATTGTCCAAGAAGAAACGTAAAATTACATATTTTTACAGGGATTTTCCAACTAAACAACAGAGACTTTCACTGCCTGGCCTAGTGCCACGACACAAGCACTGAGATGTGATTGAATTTGTTGTGATTCTAAAACAGTGAGGTGCCGTTTGTTACTGAAAGAATAAAGAACAATCAGTAACAGGATTTACTGGGAGTTAAACCTGATTGCAATCAGGTCAGATTGGATCAGCACTCTTATCTCTCACCTTGTAATGTGAACGCTGAGGGTATTTTTAAGTGGATTCAGTCAGATCACATGCTCATTAATTGGTAGAGAGAGTGGCGGATGATATTCATATGATCTGTAATCAGTTGTTAATTTGATAAAACTACTATTGGTGTGAACTAGAAGCATCAGATTAGGTTGTAATTTATACTGTATGACTGGAATATGGAAGAGTTGAATGAAAAGGGCCAAACCCCCATCACCCTTGAGTTAGCAGAAAAAGAAGATAATGGAGTAACAGAGGTCAAACAAACACACCTCTGATTAGTAATGTGGACTATACAAGGTGCAAGTCGAAGCTAGTGGAAAACTGACAAACCTAAGCAAAATCAAGGTGTTGTGAAACCTCCACGATCTACAGTCCAGAGTACACAGCAACATCAGGCACAGCTGGGGACATGGAGGGCTATAGCTTCAGATCAGGTCAGCTGTTTAGGTTAAAGTCACTTGAACTTATGTGTTTAATAAAGAAAGAGCATTTTCAACTGATTCTGAGCTCCATAGGAGAAAGTTCTGCTTGCAGCGAGTCCTGGACTGAAGCTCGGATTCACGGTCAAATGAATCCTGCCCTGATCCACAAAGCCACAGTCAAACCAAACTCATAAACTGTTATCAAATGAGCTGCAGTTAAATATTAATTTCCATCATTTGAAAATGTTTCTTTGATTTGGAAACATGTTAATTAAATGTAAAGCAGTTAGTTGTGTTTAATACCTGTCATGTGAGCACAATGAGCCCCGCATGTTTTAGAATATATTCATATATTTATAATATATACAATCTGACCAGTTGATTTACTTTATTAGCACTAGAAAATTATGATGCAAAAAACTGATTTTTTTTTTAAATACAAGACATATTTTGGTAATGAATTAGGATACAAAATAAAGTCCTAAAAACTTTCATTAAATTGGGCTACTTAACTTTAGTTATTAAATGACACATTAAATAAAATTAATATCTTTAATTGTGTATATTACAACTCTGTGATCAGATTATGTAAATAATGGATCAGCTGTAACCTACATTTTTATTTATATTTCTGTAAAAGCACTGGAGAATGAGGTGTTATCTCTAGAAACAGAAAGGCGAATAAAGGTGGTAATAATCCTGCTGCAGGATTAAATGCATGGCCCCTTCCAAGGCACTGATTTATCTAATAACTCTATCAAATTCATCATGGGGTTAATGAGGCTGCCTTTAGTTTGTGTGACATGGATAAAACATTACACGACTTGCTTCCTCCAAACATTTCGTTAGTTTTTGATCTGAAGAAACAGTTTTGTCTTAAAAAACACTAAAGTTTAAAGTTGCTTTAAGGCATCTGGCTCGTTTAATACCACAGTCAGCATCACGGTTGACTATCACATAAGTAACACATTTAATCGTGTTTTGTTGTGTTGTTTGTTTAGACCTATTATAATATGAATTTATCATTTTTAGTCCTCATTTCTGCTGGCAAACAAAACAATTTTAAGCATAATAGTGCAGTAATGCAGGTTTATATTTAAGGAACTGGGGGCTTGAGATGAAAATGGCTATTACCGGCACCATCCATTAATCCCTGACAATAACAGCTGTTCTCTTATCAACGCCACCTGCACGTTTTCTCTCTGTGGTCACGGTGAAGCTGAGAGTTTGACATTTCTTACATTTCCGTCCGGATGGCAGAGTTGCAAAAGGGGAAAGTGTGTTTATGTTGTTCACCTATGTTTGGGTGCCGTGTTGTGCCAGGAGGAGCGCCGGTTTGGAGACCATGGAGGACCGGGCTGTCAAAGGGAGACGGCGGCCAGGTTCCGCTCACGTTCGGGCTCACGTAGGCCGTATAGGGGCTGTGGTACGACGCGCTGAGGCTCCTGGCGCCGTAGTGTTCCCTCCCGTTGGCAGAGATGTTGAGCGGGCTGGTGTAAGACGCTGCGGTCTCCCTGACCGTGGCCACCCCGGAGGACAGAGGCGGGCTGGTGGAGAAGGTGAAACGCGGTGACACCGGGGAGTGGTTGTATGAGGGCACCGAGTCTGCGCCCGGCTGAGCCCAGGCAGAGTGGTTCGATACTGGGCTGCTCTGCTGAGACGCACCGGGCGTCTGGAGGTAGGGCAGCGCCGGGATCATGGGGGTGACGACCCGGGTGGTGGGCACGTAAACCGGCGAGGTGGCCGCCGAGGCGTTGTGGAGAAATCCGGCCTCATAGGAAGGGGGTCCGTGGTTAGTTGTCATTATGCCTTGGTACATATCCTCTCCTTGAAGTTGGACATCGGTGATAATGATAATGTGGATGCAGTTACGCACGAGATTACAGTTTTTACTGCAGAAAATATGTGGTTTAAAACAATCCCTAATGCCCTCTTGTCCGTATTAAAACAGATCTGCTATTAAGTCAAGCAAAGCAAAGCAAAGCAAAGCAAAGCAAAGCACTCCGCAACATGAGGAAAATGAAGAATAAACTGAGAGAGGAGACATGAGAGAGGAGGAGCAGTAAGAGACTACACCTTGTGATCAAGATCCAGCTGTTATCATCTCTTTCTCTCTCTCTCTCTCTCTCTCTTCATATCTATCTCTCCCTCTCTCTCTCTCCAGGCCAAAAAGAAATGTAAACATTGATTTCCATTAAGTTAAATAATGTTGCCTATCTGAGGTCCACTTCATTTGGATGGTGCTAACCAGACATTTCTGAAAGTATCCGTATTTTCTACCTTATTATATTCTGGCTGCTACTCGATAAAAAAATATTTCTGTCGTCCTTGTTTATAGATTTTAGTAATAATTTGAATCCAAAAAACAGAAACGTCTTCATCAGAGCTGTTGGTCGTGTCTTGGCCCGTTCGTTCGTGTCGCAGCAGATGCATTTTCCTCATAAACGATTTTTTTAAGACATAATTTTAAAATAAAATTATTTTAAAGATTCAACATTTAAGTAACTTTTATTAGTAAAAGTTCAGTTCAGGTTTGCCGAAGTTATTTTATTCAAATCACGAGATGAAGCCTTCATCCACTCATGAACTCTTTATCAAAACAAACTTTCGCTAATTTGAAAGGATGTCTCAGACTGTGTCTAAGTAGTGTCTCTGTTACTAAGTTTGGTAAAACGACGAGTGGTGGATTGTTCATTTTGGCTTGTTTTCCAGAAAATTAATTGTCTGGTTCGTCTGGACACTTTGATTTAAAATTGTAGCAGGAACCATTTTAACTGATACGCATTATTTTTCTGCGAATGTAGTGCAAATATTTGTTCTATGGTGTCGTAGCTGAATTAAAGTGTTTTAAAGGCTTTTTAAAACGTTTTTTTTGTACACCTATGGCTATACTTGTTTTAATGACATAGACTATCAGCTATATGCGATCTCATGAGTCAGAGTTATCCATTATTGGATAGAAGGCCTGTTGATTGGAGAATATTGATTGAAAGAATATTCCTCTGTTAACATTTTAGAGGAACGCTGCTGAAAATCAATTTTTAAAAAAAGGTCAGACAACTGGATATAAAGATAAAAACGAAGTG